CGTCCGCCATACAAACGCTTTTAGTAATCAACGTAATATAAACGGTTTTACTTTATGGAGAATTCTTCGGCAACGTTTCGCGATACAAAAGTTCTGGAATTTGCACGGAAACTTCTCATATTTAACGCGATTCCTTTTTCCGATGCTGACCTCGCGAATTATTCTGGTCTCGTGATGTTCTTTTACGATTGCCAATAAAATCCTCTTGCTGTTCGATTGCCACGGATTAAGCCGGACCAAATTTCAATCTCTCGCGGCCGAGAAGTTCTGTCATCCGTACAATTCGATTAGCAATTTGAAATTGAAGTGATCAGTGCATGTCTCGAAATCTATATAAAGTTTAACCCTTCTAAAGCAAATTTTAGAAATTTTTTTTTTTTTTTTAGTGATATTATTGCCCTATTATTTTATAATACAAACTACGTGCGTTGATTTATTAATAATTATAAATCGTTCAGATCGTAAATATATTATACAAACATTTAAAATCTTTAAAAAAGAAACTGTTACAATTTATCTTATAATTTCGTTCTTTTTAATGAGGTATAAAAATCGATATCTTACAAGGAAAATTCAATTATGAAAGTAAGTAAGGACGATGTGACAGAGAAAAAGGTCAATCGCGTGCTTGAGAAACGGCGATCGAGAGTTTCGCGGATTAATAAGAGCAAAAAGTTAATCTTAACGGGGGAATAAGAACGCGATTTACTAGCCGTTCTCGATAATAAAATTAGCCGTTTAACCGGTCTTCGATGCTTCGTTATCGTGAATTTGCTGCCATTTTTTTCTTTCGCATGATATTACAGCCGATATTCATGCAACGCGGAGTTTTTCGAAGCATAATGAATTTTCTTATTATGCGGAAGCACGTCACAAATGCATATCGTATACCAGATTTCCGTACAATAATTGCATTTATTCTGCGAATAGTATGAAACCTTCGAAATATGAAGAATATGGATATTGATTATTACATGAGAAAAGCGTATTTTTGATCATAATATAATCTGACATAAGACAATATAAAAATAAATACGTGTCACTATTCACACAAAGAATGTGGAAAGTCTGAATCTGAAACAATCGTGAAAAATATGAGACGTCTGTTTCAATCGTAATTACTAGCATGTAATAATTATTCGCCCGTAACGTTGACTTACCGTCGCCTAATTAGATAAGACATCTCGGCGATTAATAAGAAGAGATAAAAATACAATAAATCGTGAGAATGTTTCGAGTGTGCACGTCGAGGACATTAAAGTACCGCATGTACAAGGATTTTTAACTCTCCCTCGAAATCATATATTCTTATATAATCGTCGACCAAACACTCGAAATAGGATGAAACGATGGGAGAAGATATATTAATTATACATATATAAATAAAAGAAAGAAAAGAGAAATTTTAAAAACTATTACTAGCGCGATGTGCGAGTTTTACTACGGTTTACCGTCAGGCAAATTAATAAGCATAATTTACTCAAAGAGAATAACAAGAATCGAATAATTGATGGACCGTATATATGATAGCTTCCCTAATAGGCCACATGTTTTCCTCGGTTGTAGCTTGTAACGAACCAACGGGATAGTAATCCGATACTAAAGTGTCAAATACACGGAGGGTGTGGTGCGACTCTATATAAAGGAAAGCGGAAAAAAGTCTATCGCGAAATAAAGAAAAGATAAAAAAAAGCGCGAGAATTTAATTAATTTAATTAAAAATTAAATACGGCTAAAGTTTCTCCGTTGTCTTGTTTCTCTTGTTGTCTCCATTTGTTTATTCAAGTTTTCAATATACGCGAGCCTGAATAAACGAATAAACAGCTCTTCCATGCCATGCGATATATCGATAAAGATGCAAACTGACAGATACAGATGTTGCAACAACATTTCCTCTTATGTCGCGCGTATAAGAATAAAATGGTACAGTATTCTCTGCGATATATATATATATATCTCAGAATGTTTTTAGTATAACGCCGCGAAAAGTATTATGAAGCCTGTACACACATTTGTGTTTACTCGCCCAACGGAGTTACATAGACGACTCGATGCTAGGCGGAAGAAGGAAATGATGTAGCCGCGTGAACTGCAACAACTAAAATACGGCGGCTACATGCGGTGTTAAACTACCGCGATATTGCATTACAACGAGTTACTGTCCGACCGAGTTTATTATCAATGCTATATGTTTTATCAAGGCATTTTAATTTGTGCACAACGTAACGCCGCGATAAATGGCAGATCATGTAATTTATTATTAATCTTATTAATAGAATTTATCACAAAATTATAAAATTATATATATAATTCATTTTATAATGTATATATAATTGTGTATAGAATTATATATATATACATATAATTTTATAATTTTCTGATGAATTCTATTATAAATATATAAAATTTTATATATAACTATTTAAAAATTAATTATAATTATTACATATATATATACACACACATATTGTCTCTTTCTCGCTTATAATATAATATTATATCTTTTTTATATTATATTAGTTATGTATATATTTATTTTTTTCATCAGACTAAATCTCTCTCTCTCTCTCTCACATATATATGTTAGGAAAGATCAAGATATCTTATACATGATAGCTTTTTCGCTCCCTCTTTATGTATATATATTACAAAAAAAAAAATCGTCTTGAAATTACTCGAAATATCCAATTTGACCGTAATATAAAAGATATATTGGTTCGGAATATATATTTTGCAGGAAGAGAGAAATGTGTCATGCATTTTTTAAAAAATTCTTCGTTTATTGAAAAACTTTACATTCGCGTAACGGTGATCTATCCGAATACGATGTATTCTGATAACACACAGATTTGTATTTTATACTATTCCATTCGACACGTACCATATGTTACGGAAATACAATATCGATTCGGCGCAATACGTTCAACGCGCTATTCTTCTCATTTTTTTTCCACAAGAAAAAAACAATGATGCAATCGCACTATATTTGACTTTAAATAAGCAGCTTCTGTGAGTTTCATGAAATTTAATGCAGATATGTAAATAGAATTTGTAAATCATGTTATATTTTAAACTGCGCGACGAACGCGCATTCGTAATATTATATTATAATAATATGTACAAATTTTGAGGTAATGATATTAATAATACGATAGATATTTTTATTTTCGCGCGGCCATCTTTTTTTTTTTTTGCCGTAAATTTCTAATATTTAATCTAATATTCAAATAGAGCGCATCTATCTTCGGAAACACATGAAACGAAAATCAAATCTATCTTTCGCAATCACCCCGTATATCTAATAAAGAGAAAATTTATTATTCTACTCTATTATTACAAATATCTATCCCGCGAAAAAAAAATCCCGCGCGAGAAACATTTTTAGATTTCAAAAATTTCTCCAAAAAGAAAAGAATTCTCCGCACGAGTAATTGAAATGGAAAGACATTACACTCACTTCTGGTATCGGACGATCCGAGGTGTCGAAGTCCATCCGCTCGCCGCGATTCGACGTGCAATCACGGAGCACCTTTAACCGCGACGATGATAACACCGGAGGGGTGTCGTAACCGTCACTCGCGCACCTGTCCGAGTCCGCGCGCCGCGGATGAGATAACCACGTAAATCGCAGCACCACTTCGCGAAATCGCGCTCACCTACGAACGACGATCTCCCCTCGTCGATGCCGGCACGACGCGACGCACACAGAAACGCTCATTCGCGATGATCTCCGCCGACGACGACACCCGCGGCGCCAAATCGCCGGCGATTCAAAATTCCGTGCGAACGCCAAGACATGCTCGCGACTACGCTCTCGACGACGACGGCTCGAAGTCGTCACGACGACTGGCGAAACCGTCGGCAGAGAGCGACACGACAGCCCCCGGCGGCCGGGTTCGACGCATGCGTCCTCGCCACCCCGTGCCCAACCCTGTTGTCCCAGAGACGGCCACCCTCGCGCACGTTAGCTGATAGCCACCCCATTGCCTCTTCCCTTCATCCGCGTTACTAACTTCGTCGTCGGGTCCCGCGACGTTTCCTCGGCGTTTCCGTACCGCGAGGGTGAGGACGAGGTGCATTGACCACCATATCGAGCCCGTGTGTCACCTCGGCGACCTATCTATAATCGCCTCTTTCTCCTCGACTTGTTGTTACCAACTATCGCGATATATTCCTAAGGGTTGCTCGTCGTTTCCGGAAACGCACCGCTTGCGTGTGTAATCGTACGCGCGACCCTTAGCGTTGCTAAGGGAAGTTTTAAGGTGCATTACAACGAATTTAGTGTCATCCTCGCGCGCTCGTTTTTTTTCCATGGAAACTCGCTGAGCGCATCCATAATTTTCTTATCATATGAGCGTTCTATAATTTTCGCTAGATATTCTCTTCTAGATTTTTTTAAGAATTTTAGGAAATTTCTTGTTTTACAGATTACACGCTATCTTATAAAGATAAACGAGAAATTGTAAGATGCATCACTTCATATTTTTTTATTTTAGCTTAGTTACAACTAGATAATTATAGATGTAAGAGAGAGAGAGAGAGAAAGATTAAAAATGGATTAAAAATTGACTAAAATTCGTCCTGCAATTTTCCGTGATCCGGAAATTGAGCAATAATATCGGCTTGTCGCATGAAAGTCGAATGAGAGGCTGTGTTTATGTGTGTATATCACCGTGAAATTCGATTCCGATTGACTGTAAATCGAGAGATCGCGTGCTCTCAAAATTCAACTTCCATTAACCACGCATTGTAATTTGCGCCCAAACAGGCGGGACATTAATTAGCTGCGTCATTAATAATCGACAGCGCACATCGGGAAATTTAAAATCAAGTATGCATCCCGCCGTTCCTCGCGATTTCGTCGATAAAATCGAATTGTACGATTCCGAATTATGCGAAGGACCTCTCGAGATACGACAAAAAAAAAAAAAAAAAANNNAAAAAAAAAAAAAAAAAAAAAAAAAAAAAAAAAAAAAAAAAGATTGTTTCTCGGCGACTATTTTCATCCAACTTTTTTTCCCCGAGATCTATTGAGCCGTAAAAATGTATTGTTCGGCGCGATTGCGCGATATTAGTCGGTCGAAAAAAAAGGGCCAGGCGGATAAAAAGTTATAATGACTCTCTCCCCTCTCTCCTTCTGCCTCCCGTTATTGTCGCTACGCAAAAAACGTCCCGCAAGCAGCAATAATAATCGCATAAGGCAGGAGGCAGTCGCGTTTTTGGACAGAATATTAGCCGAAGATTTACGACGAGCTTTAATCGGGGTAACGAAAGAAGGTGTACGAAAAGGAATCGGGGCTACGTCGAGGGCTATGTACACATCAATCACAAAGGCTTCATATTTTTTAAGCTCAAAGAAGAATGATTGCCGCTCCGCGAACGTTTGATGTTTTAAAGCACACTCGCCCCGATGGCTGCCTCAAAGCTTTTACGAGCTCGGATTAAAGCGCGTAATGCGATCGTGGCTCACTCGATATCGGACACGGTCCTTAGATGTGCATTATTTCCTTCTGTCATTAATTACGCAGCTTTATACGCGAGACGATCCGATTCCGCGCGTGTATTCGAGCCGTATATTAGCCGTCTATATTCGATTGTTGTAATGCGATTTACGACCGAATATCGAAACCGAGTAGATTGACAAATATTCAAAATAGAGCTGTATGTGAGACTATGTAGTTGGAAATATGAATTTGAAATGCTTTAACAATTTTTGAATCTTTTCTGTCAGACTATGCGACACGACGGTGCGAAATATTGCAAAAAATAATGAAAATGTACGACTAGTACTTGGTTTCCCTTTAATGGAACGTAAAATCGCTTCATTTCTCGTGGTTTCGGTGAAAGTCTCTGCAATTTATGCAGCGAAGAGAACGAGGAATTACGTAATATGGCAGGAAAAAGGAATGCAAAATTAAATGGCATAGCTTCATCTCGCGTCTGGAAACGTCCGGCACTATTATACTTGCACCACTATTACGAGAGAACGATATGCCCTAAGCAGAGAGAATATATTATTTCTGTCCTCTCTGAACTTTCTTTAAAAGCCCGAAGACACTGCTATCGCAGCGAATTGTCAGAATAGAAAAAATATATGTGCAATTTTCCATTGAAAATTCAATGCGCGAATGTCTCTTCCTATTATTTATTCAGACATTTCAACGAATATTTTGATAGAAGACAAAAAAAAGAAAGATTTACTTCGATAATTATGTATTTCGATAAATTTTATGATTATAATGTAATATATTTGGCTTTAAATTTTTGCCATGCAAGCTGTAATTATTATTTTCTATAATCATGCGATTTGACATATCGCCATAAAATTTCGTATGAAAAGTTATAGTCAAACGCAATTAGACTCGGGTATATTATATTGCCCCTGTGTTAACTTGTTGATCAAATGAACAATAGATCAAACCGAAATGTCACAAAGATCTAATTACCGAAGGCGTTATGTGAATAGATTTTACACGTGCCTGTTGTTGCCTGCTGTTGTTTGTTCGCCGGTTAAATCACCTTCGGGTCCTGGGGGAACAATGAAATTCGAAATGTCAAAGCTTTGCTATATAACAGTTCGTAATAAAGCGATCGTTAGAAATAAAAATAAATCAGCAAGAAAATCTAACATATAACTGAAAGTAAATACGAAACGCACAAGACTCGATATATATATATATATATATAGAGAGAGAGAGAGAAAAAGAGCTCGAGGCTTGCGTATAAATATATTATCGA